AAGTTTCACCTGTATACAGAGCTTATAAGGGCATCAAACAGTGGGAGATATTGCATCAGGGACTAACCTTTTGACAAATTAAAGTGGAAATTTGTATTATCACACTGGTACTTTAGGTATTTACAATTGTGCCACACTTTTTTATTACAGTTTGAGACTCCGCTCTCCCTGCTGGAGTGGTTGTTTGTGAAACCTTTGTCAGCAGTATAGAAAGAACCATTTCTCATTAGACATCCAGTAATTGAGCGCTGCAGGGAGAAATGGTTGGTCGATTTTCCTGATCTGCAAGGGGATAACATGTGCGATTATCCATTTCAGCATTTAGTATCTGCTAGAGATCATTTGACCCATAACAAATTTCTACGTCATATCTATTTCACACCTGCTGAGCTTGCTGGTGAACATCAATTCCTTTCAGCAGAGTGTTGGCACTGAAGTTTCTCTACAGCAGACTTTGAACATTTACAGGCATTGCCCAGTGATTCAGCAATTCTGGAAGGGGTTCATGCAAACAATCATGGAAATCACAACACTCTCCATACAGATCTGTCTTGAATAGTTTGCTGGGTTTAGTTGAGGGGTTGGCAATTACAATGGCCCACCGAACCCAGTTGAGCATTTTATTGTTTTCTGCCCGTAAGGTAATTATACTACACTGGAAAAAACTTGTTGTTCCATGCTACAGTTCTGGAAGAGATCGATAAACTCTGTTCTACCATTTTATAAAGCCACATAAATCAACAGGGGCTGCCTTAAAAAAAAATTGACAGGATCTGGAACTGCTGGACATCTTCATCAGATACCATTTCTTAGTAATTTTCCCTTAACTTCATAGTAGTAGCATCTGGGTAGCTTCCCAGATGGCACTGCAAAACTATGTTCAGCCATAACCGTATTCTGGCCTATTAGAGGGGATGGGATATACTAAGAATGTGCACCTAAATCACATTGACATTTTTAAGTGTTTGTGAAAGTTGGGGGGAGGTTTTTATCCATCCTGTTCTATCACTTGGCTTCCCTATGTAGAGAAAGATGCTCTGGCAGTACTGGGGGAAACCTACATAGACTATTCTATCTATAGTTGCCTAGCTTTTTTTTTTTTTTTTTTTACATGGTGATACAAGGAAAGAGGTGGGGGAAGGTTTGTTTTTAGGATGGTAGGACCTAAAAAAAAAGAGATAAAAATAAAAGATAAATAAAAATGTTTACAAAATATATTATACCGTTTCTTCTTCACATGAGTACCTGGAGTAGTAGCTCAGTAGTCAGGCCGTGTGTACAGAAAAAATTATTTCAAGGCCATGCCTCTACGCCAGAGACCAATTTTTTTTTTTTTTATTAAATGGGGTAAGAGTCCTGGGTTCAGAGCTGAATCATGGCTCTAAAAGCTGGTACAAAAGGGGGTGGTCAGGAGTAAGTAAATACAACACAGCATGCAGAAGGTGTAGCACACAGAGTGGGGCTGTCAGAAGTATGCAAATACAACAAGGTGAACAAAGAGGGGCAATGAAGATTATTCAAAGTACAATATATCATACAGTGTGGGTTGGTTAAGAGTATGTGAAATACAATGTGACATACAAAGCAAGGCATTCAGACATGTGTAAAGTAGAATGTGTAGTACCCTCCTAATCAGCTAGGGGGTGGATCTGAGGAGTGGCTGGTCTATACTCTTGGAAGATCCTGGCCAATCCCCAACAGGAGGCTTGGGAAGGGGCCAGGACAGCCTTTAAGAGCAACTGAGCCTGCTCAGCAGCAGGAGTTGGAGAAGAGGAGGAGAGTTTAGGTGAAAGATGTGAGAGAGGAAGTGATGCAGGAGCCTGGGGAGGGGGCCGAAGATGGGAGAGGGGCTCACCTCCAGACAGGAACTTTGGAAGGTGGAAGGCTCGGGACTTCACTGGCCCGCTGAGAAAGGACCACCTGTGAGGTAGGGAAGGAGCGGCATAGGTAGAAGGCCTGGTAGCAGCCATAAACCCACCAACCGCACAGGAGAAGGACTGAGTGGGGTAGACCTGCACCCCTTGGGCCAGATAGGGGAAGGAGGCACTCTGGTGGGAAACTGAATTTGCCTTCCATCCAGGACTATTTCACAATTCATGAAGAAAACACTGGAACCACTGCTCAGGGACTCATCCAGAACAACTGGATAAAAGGAGTTTCAAGGGTCTGGGTCGGTACTACAGGAGATGCTGGCTGACTCTCCAAAAGAGACTCTTTTACTGTAACACCTGTAAAAAGTTCCAGGAAGTTGTCCTTGGTTTCTCAGTTCCTTTGGGCATCCCATACTCCTTATCTTATCCAAGTTACATCCCCCTAATAAAACCATCAAATAAAAAAAAAAAAGCTCCAGGACTGGTCACTGGCTCCTGGATGCAAGATTATGTAAACGTATTTGTTGCCTGGCTGTGCAGGACTATAGGGGGACCCAAATACTTTGCAACTCCTAAAGAGGGTAGTGTTACAAAATGTATTGTATAGAGTGCGGCTCCAAAAAGTAAAATATAGAGATACTATGAATAAACTTACCAAAGCAGCCTGGCAGTGGTTAAAACAACATGTTAAGTACTCAATTTGTGAGAAAAAAAAAATGAAGTGCAGCGGTCACTCCCTGCAAAAGGGCCCATGTTTCGTGCCAGGTTCTTTTCCAAAGTAGCAGCAGCCAGGCACACAGCAGCAATCTCTCTCTGGCTCAATGAACAGTCTAGGGATTGCTTTTCTTTTAAATGTATTGCTTAATAGCTGGGATAGGGTGTAGGGAGATGTGGAATACTCCAGAAATACTGAGCAGTAACAGGCGGACAATTCACTTTATAGATGCTTTTTAGACAAATCCCTCCAGTAATAGCCTGGAAGATAAACAGCACTGAGACACCATATGCAATGTCCTAGGCCAGGCAAGCTTTGGCCTTAGTGCACAAGGGGTAGCAGCAGCAGTAGTCACCAGGACCCTGCACAAGGATCTATATGCACAGCGTCAGTGGATACTCAGCTACCACCTCCCAATATCTGACAGACTTTCCTTCATGAACTCTCAGACTGGATTCTTAGCAAAATCCCTTTTATAGCTGCAGCGATTCTCCTCAAGCAGGCCTCCTAGCTCAGCAGAGGCTGGGACCTCAATAAATGCAGTTGGGGTTTCAGCTGGATTGCCTGGAAGGGCAGCAGCTCTTTAGGCTGGAAACTTATCCTCCTGGACAGGAATGTTTCGGCTCCAGGTCTCAGTCTATTTATCCACTCCACATCCACTTACTAGGCAATCTCTCACAAGGATTGGCTGGGACCACAAACATTCAGGATGCCAATTTAAATCTCCCAGCCCACTACATTAAAGAACTCTCCAGAAGGTAGGGGAAGCAGTTAAATCTGCAACCAATAAGACACATAATAGCCCAAAACAATCACAAACTGTTAAACTGATTACAGGAGAACTACAGAAACTAGTTTCCTAACCTAACTAGCAACCTATCTCTGAGGACGCTACAGAAGTGAGGATCATCTGTAGGTGAATCCACTACTTAGGCTGACAGCACACACCTATTGTGAAAGTCAGCCAGCCGTTTGAAAATTTCTACTTATCAGTGTCTACTGAACTAGTGTAGAACAGGTGTAGCTGCTGGGCAGCTATGGAAGGGGAAATGTGTGGCCACTATGATTGGTAAGCAAGATGATTGGTCCCATTTCTGTATGTTTATAACTCTTGGTACCCTTTATAGTTTTTTTTACATAATATTAGACATGCCCTCTGTACTGCAAATTTTGTATGTACGGTTATGCCTTGTGATCCAGCTCATCTTTTTATACGTTGTACAACTGGTTTGTATGTTATAAAACCTCAAATACCAATGAAATATAGAATATTCTGCTAATTTTTAATTTAGTTATAGAATATTCTTCTAACAATCAAAAATTAGCACGAAAGATCCATGTATAAAAAAGGTCCTTATTTAGGAAAGAGAAGACACTAGGTTTCCTCTTGTAAAGCAAATTTGTTATTTTACCTAGGATGGGCAAGCTATGGTTTCAATTTGAAGGGAACTTTAGTGTTTTTTTGTTTTTTTACCATTTTATTTTTTGTTTTTATAAAATTATATGTTATACCACGTTTGCATAAATCACAAAATAACCGTTTTGACAGGATCCCTCAATGCTTCAGCATTTGTAGGGTGTACACTGGGTTGCAAAGGGCGATCCGTCATATATTCCTAAGCATAGAAATAACATTTTTCCAAAATGTATTTACCTCTAAATAGTGTTTTTAGAAATATTTGAAGTTGTTTATGCATTATTTGTTGCCTTGAAAATAAGTGCATTGATGTGAAGCTCAGTACCTATACACACGCACCAAGGTGCAGCATGTACTTGTAACCAGGGGTGGACTGACAACTCATGGGGCCCCCAGGCAATAGGAAATCATGGGGCCCGTGTCCTTGCCTGCACTCAAACCACACCCAAAAATGCCAATGAAAGGTACCAGGGGCATCTCATGGGTTCCCCTACTGACCCTGGGCCCTCGGGCAGTGCCTGAGTGTCTAAATGGTCAGTCCGCCCCTGCTTGTAACATTGAAATATTGCTGCACCCACAAATACTATTGAATCCACAAGAAAATACAGATTTTCAGTATCAATATTCCATCTGGGTTTTAGGTAATATAATAGTATTGCACAGTGTAATGCATAATATTATGTATATCTCCACTTTTCTGAATGAAGGCATTTGATATGAGATTATGCAATTAAATGTGAATAGGGCAGCAGCAAAAAACATTTGTCATGGTTATCCAAATCCTGAATCACTCATTTGCTTTGTCATTGATATTACCATGTTTTAATATAAATTTTCTACATGCTTACAACAAAAGGATTACATTACAGCACACATCATCTACAGCTAAATTACAATATATGGGGGGGTGGCATGTATTTTACAGATATTTTACCAACACAAGCCTGTAGAGTTTAATAAGTTTTTGCAGTAATGAGACATCTACAATTGGAAACAGCTATGGACTTAAACGCAAATCATTTAGTGAGGACTGCAATTCATGATTATTGTGGTCCGGGTGATCAATATTGTCCGGTTGATCAATATGGTCCTGGTGCTCATGCAGAGAGCAGTTACTTAGAGACCTTGAATCCACTGAAAAAGCAGTAGGAGACACTGGTCTGGATTCAGGGATATGTTCCATCCTATATTTTTCAATGTATGGTTCTGCCACATGCCAAATCTACACAACAAGAGCGGACAAAAAAAACATTTATTAGCAAATATAAAATGGAAAAGAAATCTGTGACAAAATTTAAAGGTGGAAGTTGTTCTGCAAATTCCAAGCATGTCTTGCAAGGGTAAAAGCAGTGCAATCAGAGCATTGCATAACATTTCAAAATGGAAGGAAAGATTGAGGGACACCTATTAGAAAAAGTATGTAGGCATAGGACACGCCTCCTGCCACGTCCCCTTAAAGGAGTACTATACAAAATAAAATGAAATTAGTGCTTTTTTTATTTTTTGTTACTACTACTACTATTCTTTTATACTGGCTTTTGAAATTCACAAGTGCAACTAGTTAGAAATTGGATTAAAAGGTTTAGCACTGTGAAACACATCTTGAAGGATAAGTAGTGCATTTTATATACGACTACATAGATCAGACCAAAATGAGGAACATGTGAGGAGGACAGAGGGACTTTGTTCCAAATCAGGGACAGTCCCACAAAATAAAGGACAGTTGAGAGCTATGCATTGCACTGCTCCTTCACAACGTACACTCAATGAACTGCCACAATAATTGTCTTAGAAGATGGGCACATACTCCGAGGGGGAGATTTACTAAAGCTGGTTCTCTCAGAATCTTGTACACCTGTGCATGGTAGCCAATTAGCTTCTAACCTCAACTTGTTCAATGAAGCCTTAGCAATAAAACTGGTAACCTGATTTGTTTCCATGCAGAAGTGCACGAAATTCTGATTGAACCAGCTTTGGTAAATAAACCCCTGTGTGTTTAGCAAATAGTGCTGCCTTTTTTTTTTTTTTTTTTTTTTTTTTTACAGGAACAAAAGCCTATCATACAAAAAATATCAACCCCGTTGGCCCCCCACAACCTATTGTCTCCTCTAAGTCCACAGAGGACAAGGAGGTGTCCACAGATGTCAAAGTGGTCTTGAAGTTAGCAATTGTGGCCATCAGTTCCAGTGATCAGTATCGTGAAGTAAAGTTGAACAATTTAGCACCGAGTCAGATGATGTTTTCTTAAAGAGCCTCATTCACAAAGATATCATGGGTCAGTAAGGAAAGATAAGCAAATTCTGAAGGCGGTTTAGTGGTTCTGGCAGTTTTTGGTTACATACATATGTACAAGATCAGATCAGAGACCTTTGGTTCTGTTTTGGTTGCTAGCTTAGTTTTCCTCTGAAGAAAATGTGTACATTAAATTAATCATTCACTCCGATTGTCAAAACTGTCTTGCTCTTCAACTTTTAAGTATCATCTCACATGTAAAATACACATACTCAGTAACAATTAACCACACAGGCTTACCAAGGGAAATAAAAAGGCAGTAATCCCATTTCAGTCTTTGCAGATGACACCAAGCTGTGCAGTGGAATAATGTCCTTACAGGATGTCTTCAACTTACAAGCTGACCTCAATGCTCTGTTTAATTGGGCAATTATGTGGCAAATGAGGTTTAATGTTGATAAATGTAAGGTTATGCACTTGGGGGCTGAGAATATGTATGCATCATACATACTAGGGGGTACAACTGGGGGAATCAATGGTGGAGAAGGATCTGGGAGTTCTGGTAGATCACAAGCTTAATAATGGCATGCAATGCCAAGCTGCAGTTTCTAAAGCGAGCAAAATCCTCTCTTGTATTAAAAGAGGTATAGACTCCAGAGAGAGATATTTTACACCTGTACAAATCATTAGTAATGCCTCATCTGGAATATGCAGTTCAGTTTTGGGCACCAATTCACAAAAAGAACATTGGGGAACTGGAGAAAGTACAGAGAAGGCAACCAAACTGATAAGAGGCATAGAGGAGATCAGCTCTGAGGAAAGATTAGAGGAACTGAATTTATTCTCTCTTAAGAAGAGGAGATTAAGGGGGGATATGATCAACATGTATAAATACATCAGTGGTTCATATAGTGAACTTGGTGTAGAGCTATTCACCCTGAGGTTATCACAGAGGACAAGGGGGCACTTTACATCTGGAGGAAAATAAATTTAATCTCCAAACATGGAAAGGTTTTCTTCACAGTGAGAGCTGTGAAAACGTGGAATAGACTCCCTCAAGAGTTGGTTCTGGCAAGCTCAGTGGATTGCTTCAAAGGATTCTTTCTTGGATACACAGACTATAACTGGATACTAACAGGGAATATCAGATTGGCTCTCGGGGATTAGGAAGGAATTTTTTTCCCAGTAGGAGCAAATTGGATGATGCTTTGCTGGGTTTTTTTTTCCTTCCTCTGGATCAACTGTGGGTATACAATTATAACTTTTTTTTTCTATGGTTGAACTGGATAGACTTTTGTCTTTTTTCAGCCAGACTAACTATGTAACTACGTAAGAGTTCTTTCACATGGGTGGCCTGGGGGGCATTATAAACAGGTGGCTCAGACATAATTTGGCTGCCCAAACAAATTCTAACATTACACCTTGATAGGGCAGTACATATTGCGGTTATAATACTTAGCTTCACAACTGCTGCATTTTTAACTCTGGCTGCAGAGTTTGACCGCCCGTTTAGTACTGCCTATCAAACTTGTAGACGGAGATCAGTGGGGCCGCGTTACAAGAGCCAAAACGATAGTCTTGCAGTTGTAGCACAGTCCCCCAATGTAAAACTGAGGATTCAGTAATTGGAAAAAAAAAAACAAAAAAAAACACACAGGTGTCAGGAGTGGGTTAGTGAGAAAGAATGTTAGATATGAGAATTAGGCAAAGGTAAGTGTACCTGTATTTAGAGGGATGCTGCGACTCACCCTGAAATATATGGTTTACAAAAAATAGATAAATGACAACAAAAAATTAAAAAAACACTCACTTTCTGATCAACAAGCAATCTATGAACAGCTTCAATGTCTGGAGCCATGAAACGGTCCTTCATCCAAGGCCTAGCAAAAGGCAAGCATGGAACATTTATTGATCATTAACCACTACAAAAAGTAGGCCTTCAAAACACACACTGAGATACTGTTTGCTTTTACCTGACCACAGAGCGGACAAGGTCATAGACTTTCTCCAATGGAGTTGTGGTTCGAAGAGGGCGTAGAAATTCAATACCCTGGCAGGCTGCAAGTAGCTCAATGGCCAACACTAAATAGGAAATATCATTTAGTGTCACATACAAACAAATGGATCGACACTTAGACGCTGGATAGCAAATATACCGTAACAACTATTTGGAAATGCTGTGTGTTGATCTGCTTTTTATGTATTATTTAGAGTCCACTTGCCAGTTGTAGATTGTTTGATTTTATTATGCCACACAAATAGTTACTTTAATAATTATTCATTATTAGCTAGGGCTGTGAAAAATTAACTGCAGATAATTCAGATCGACATGGATGCCCTGGTTATACTTTAAAGGCTCCAACCACCTATCTACAAACATTGAACCAAATCTCCCTTTCTCTGACCCAAGGGACATACATGTTTCTAGCTTCCTTGGTTGCCAAGCTGCAATCTAATAGTCCTTCCTGCAGCGCTTGGCATTTCTAGAAACATGCCCATGCCAAGGATCGACCCCCCTGAAGTAGGGTCCACCTGGATTATCCATGACCCCCTCAATCCCCCATTCTGTAGGAGGCCAGCTTATCTATACCACTTCCTTTACCCACTTTGAACTTTTCCCCCAAAGCTCCCCTCGCAGGGGGTCTGCCATAATTGTTCTGAAAAATGCTTCACTACCTAGAATTTATTTCATTTTAAATATAGTGGCAGGTCAAGGATTCATAATGGTCACCATCTTTTAATCGGATTCCCTAGTTACTATGCAAAGGTACTATAGTACTTATTGGGTTGGCGGCTTATAGTTCTTATACAGACTGCATATATACGCATTACATTGGAAAATGTCACTTGAACTTCTTGCAGGGCCTTTTCACATGAAGAAGCCAATCAGATCTGCCTGTCAATTCTTCAGGCAGACCTCAGGGGACCCTCAATTCACCCTAAGAACTAACAGGTGTAAACAGACTCCCAGACCAGATTGGTTTGAAGGTAGGCAGGTGTAAACAGACAGCGAAGAGGTTCCATCCCCCTCCATCTAGGCAAATTGGATTGGAGGGCAATCGGGTGTAATAGGATGGCAGAGGTTCTGTTTATGTCCGTTCTGCATAAACTGAGTGGACATGGACCTGCCATCCACCCACTCAGCAGGGGATCAGAGGACTCATCAGAGCAGAGTGAACAGATCCCCTGGTGATCATGATGGAGTCCGCCCCATGTGAAAAAGGGGCCCAAGCATGTATAAGTATAAATTGTTGGAAGTACTTGTGACAACAAAGGAATTAACAAAAAAAACAAAAAAACGACGAGAAACAAAATATGCATACTTGCAATCTAAATATACATGAATAAATGGTACCTTTTATGTTTATTAACTACAGAGTTTGTTCCAAACTTAAATATCCTGGTAAATGACCTGCCTTAATCTAAGAAAAAACATATCTGTTGTAAAACATACACAATAGCTCTCGCAGTCTCAGAAAAAAGAAAGGTCCTTATGGGCTACTGGAGCTGTGGATATCAGTGGATCATGGGTGCAATGTTAGGCTCCTGCAGAGAAGTCCTACAGCTCTCTGCTCATACCACTGTACGAGCTGTCGCTTAGCTGCAGGAAGTGTCAATGGACTACAAGGGCGCTTATCAGAATTTCTGTGGTGGAAGATGAGACATGTAGTTTTTTCATTCACAGATCACAGTGAATGAATGAAGCAGCTGTGCGGGTGAAGCTCCGCACAGCCACGTTGATTTGCGCTAGGATCTGCGAGGGAGAGAAACCCCTGCCCACTCGCATTGGGTGGAGTGGGGGGGCATGGGGAAAGACTCAGGGGGTGCGGGGGGCCTGGTGTATAGCAAAAGGTTACATATTACACCCTAAATACAGGTGTAACATGTTGCTAAAGGTTAACCTATCCTTTAAATTAGAACTGGGCTTTACCAAGTGAATTCTCCTTTTCGCTTCCTATTTTTCTTTAAACTTCTCATTTCCCTACCCAATCCTAACAAGATGGACATAATGAAGAAATAAACTGGTAACGTTTCCCACCTTGTTCTACATGTTCAATGACTCGAAGTGCTTTTCTTGCTGCCCAGCCTCCCATGGATACATGATCTTCAGTAGCAGCACTAGTTGAAAGGGAGTCCACAGATGATGGATGGCACAAAGATTTGTTTTCAGAAACTGAAGGAAAAAAAAAAACAAAAAAGCATAGTTTAATGGTTGTCACTCCAGTATTGGATAGAGTAGCAAAGTGTGTCCTATCATATCACTAAGTAAAAAACATACCCACAGCCACCATATTCTAATTGGGCTCCTAACCAGGGATGTATTGACCATAATGGCAGTTGTGGGCCAGAGCAACAGGTTAGAGGGCCCAAGCTTCAAAACTAACAGATTGTGATAACTTCCACCTAATTTGTTTCCTTCATCTAGCTACCTCTTATATTTAGTAAGAGATTTATAGAGCGGAGGGGGTACAAGGGTCAGTGAATAGTCAGTAGACTTTTTATAGTTCAGGAAACTTATCTTTTTTGGTTTGGTGGTCTGTGCAGCTGAAAGTAGTTCTGCATGTGAAGCAGACTTAATGATGCCTGCAATTACACATTCTGGCATTAGTTTTTATTTGAAATAATCACCACAACATGGGTGGAGTTTGTGCAAAAAGGTGTCATCATTCAGTCGTGGCTAGGATAGCATGTCATCTAAATGCAACCAAGTCTACATTTGTGGTCTCATAATGTTATGGTTTATCCTTGCTATACAGAAGCAGCAGAAACTAAAGCCCAATTTTTTTTTTTAAGGTTTTTAAGTAGGAAAGTTTTAGGTTTCAGGTTTTAATTATGATCTGTGCCATTGTGGAGTCCCTTCATTATCTATTCAATATGACACGTGTTGAATAGACAGCAAGTGTGAAGAAATCTCCCAAACAGGCATACCAACCTAAACATTTTGATAGAAGTTGTAACCTTACCTCACACTGTCCAATACATTGAAGGGGTTATAAGCTGGCCCTACACTAGTGGAATTCTATACTATACTAGTTAAAAGTGTTCATTTTTGGAATATTTCTTTAAATGTCTAATAGTTAGTGGGGTCAGATCAATGTTTATCTTTAGCTATAGTGATGAGAAAATTCTAAAGGAGCGTGATGAACAATTTTCTAACTGTGAATGTGGTTTTCTCAAGGGAAAAATCAAAATTATTATAATAAAATCTATTTATTGCATATGGGATTCCATTTAAACAGCAGGTCTGAATGAAAATTTAAGGGATTCTGAATGAAGTTGACTGAGTGATGCCAAGAAAGAATCTTCTGGCAAATGATCTTTCTACAAGTATTCCAAAGAAAAATCTAACCATGTATGGCCAGCTTTAGATTCCATGGGAAATATTAGGCTTGTATTACACTGAATACTCACCAAGTGCAGCTGCTGTGCAGTGTGCAATCATGAAACCAGAGTTTAGTCCACCCTCTGTTACCAAAAATGCTGGCAGTTCACTGAGGGAAGGATTACAAAGCCTTTCAATTCTTCTCTCACTGATAGCGGCAAGTTCATGGACCCCAATAGCAAGATAATCCAAGGCCTGTAAAGCATAGCAAAATGAGGCAGATCTTGACATTCTATTCCTGTAAAGATACTTTAGGTCTTTAGTTGGTTTTATGGAACCAAAGAAATATAGGTTTACCTTAGCTGGGTATTCACCATGGAAATTTCCACCTGAAATGGTTTCTCCTCTTGCTGCAAAAACCATCTGAGAAAGGGTCAAGGAACTTTCTTTTTTCTCTGCTTCTACCCCTTAAAATAGTTAGGCTAAACCCAGACATAATAATACCGAATTTTGTTTTATATTTTGGCTGCTAAGTTTCCATGCCTAAACTGGCTAGTGTATTAAAAGAGAAGCTACAGTCTCCTAATGAAAAATTTAATAAAAACCTCCCCATGCAGCTTAAAAAAAAATACTTATTAAAATTTGGATATTATTAATATAGTCCATCAAGTGCTTATTTGCCTAATCTGCAGTTTCCTTGCCCTGATGAGATGTAGCCGGGGGCCGTCTTAGGTAAAGACATCTGAAGCTGGTGCCAGTGATTTCCAGGATTTAGTGAAGCTGGTTTACCAAACATGAACCTCTCAAACCCGCGCATGTGCACCAGTGACATTCACTGTGCACAGTGTTGTCCATAGGTTACTATAGTAATGGTGGTGGAAATTCCCACTCTGTTATAGCAACCTGATTACAACAAAGCAGGGGTGGACTGACAACTCATGGGGCCCCCGGGCAATAGGGGATCATGGGGCCCCTGTGTCCTTGCCCAAACTCAAAAAAGCCTATGAAAAAGGTACCAGGGGCATCTCATGGGGCCCCCTAATGACCCCGGGCAGTGCCCGAGTTTCCAAATGGTCAGTCCTCCCCTGCAACAAAGGACTCAAAAGCAGCAGAGGCATATGCAGTGCCTAATCACCTGGCATCACGTCATTTCCGGTTCTGAAATAAAGCAGTGCCAGAAGTGAAGGATGCTCGGTTACTCCTTGGATTGATATCCCAGGAGTCAACAGAAGACCAGAGATTATGTATCTCGCCGTGGCAACAATTAGCTGGAAGTGGCAGGAAAAAAAAAAAAAAAATTCCAAACATAAAGACAGAGGTATTAGCTAGCAGTAGGACCATAGGTGTTTGGTAGGGTGAAGCTCCGCTTTAAAGAACAATTGAAAAGGAATAATGGGGAGTACAAAAAAAAATCTGTAACCTTGAAAAAAATATCTTTTGGAATGCTGGAACGGTTCTGTGTTTCTGGTGTTGAATTGCATATAAAATAAGGGAATGGCCAAATCTAGAAAATTATTCCTTCAACATCAAGTGCATGACCTGCAAAATGATCACTTGGAGTATTATGGGTTTCATTCATGGTAGTAACTCATAAGAATTGCCTCAGTCTGTGTTGACTCCAAGCAGACATTCAGAGTTTTTTTTTCTTTCACTGCCTCACACTTCAAAAAGGAAGAATTTGTTTTTCAAGCGCTTTCATAAATTATGTCCTTAATGCTATAATGCTATGCATAGTTGTTGGAGCCTGAAGGAGGATTGCTGCTTGACTGTAGTTTCCAGGATAGACACGAGATCAGATTATACATAAACAAGTTATCATTGTGTAACATCACAACATTTTCTGCTCATAAAAAGTTAGTTTTGATAAAGCGCCCTTGATTTTTGTGTAATGTGTATTAAATAAACATCTGTAGTATAGTAAATTATGATAGCATTGGTCTGTATACATGTCCCAGGGCAGTACTGAAGCCACTGTATCAGCATAACAGCCACGCAACTAATGTTTTCAGAAGAAGAGGTCAGCAGTGGCAGCCTTCATGTGTTTCTTAGCATGGGCCAACTTCAAATGAAAGTAAAAATCTGCTGGGAAATAAAGCAGGTGTGACACTTTTATCTTCGTTTTTAATCGGTGTTCAGCAGGTGAAATGACCATGTATGCATTGTGGTTAATTTATAATGCATCTCAGGGAACCAACCTGTTTTTTATGGTCTTTACTGTGTCCTGCTGAACACTGTAGCCAATTAAATGCATCTGTTATATATAAATTATATAAAATATAACATACAGTTTTCTAAAACTGGTGAAAACACAGAGGTGTGATCAACTGTAGCAAAACATGGAGCCAGTCCAATGTCTAGGTCACCAGACATGAACACTCATCATTCAGTGAATGTCATTCAATCTTCTATTGCTGTACTAGGTACTAGTACTGTACATGTGGTTGGGTCATCACTATTTATTCCTGTTTTATCCATGTCAAATATTCAGATATTCTTGGATTATGTCAAGTCATGAATCATGCTATATAAAGCTGTAGTCTCGTGCAAGTGCACTGGTTAGGTTGAACAGCAAAAAAAAAAAAAAAAAAATGCTACTGGGAAGTTATAATATACTTCAGATTATGTCAAATGATACAGGGTTGTCAGTCGCGCTGTTAATTTCAGTTGCAATGATGCTCTTCACAAAATCAATGGTATCGTTCACCACACCATGTACCTAGGGACACACATATTAAATCAGGCAGTCAACATTAACAGCATCATTCATATAGGAAATACACATTACATCCCATTAACAAAGCGTTAACCATTTTTAGCTGTCTCTGTCCAATTGGAGACAGAGTTCTCTTCACTTCATAGGCATATCAGGAAATTAGAGGAAATCTCGCCAAAGTGACAGAAGGGCTTTCTTAGCCAGTTGTCACTGCAACAATTGTTTTATTAGGAGATTTCTCCTCTACTCCTGTTTCAGTGACAACTCAAAATGTTGGATGTTCCATCACTTTCAGTCCTAGTGACAAAGGTTTCTAGGACAAATAGAGTGTGAATCTTCCCAGGGGGACACAGATTTAAAAAAAAGACCCAACAGGGTTAATAATACTTTAGAACTAATTTGTAGTCTATTTAAAGTGTCACTAAACCTACAACAGTAAAATCAGTCTGTATATGCAGTAAAGCATGCTTGTTATACTCACTGTGGAGCCTAAGGAGTTAATCCTCTGCATTGGGTAAAAAGGATCCTCCCCTTCTTCCAGTGCTCCACTCTTATTTCCTGATAAGACATATCGTGTGGAGACACTCTGCACATGCTCAATTTGGTGTGTATTAGTAGAGAGGTTTTTTTTTTGGGGGGGGGAGTGTTTGTGATCAGCACCGGGCCAATCAGCACTTCCCAGATAGAGGTCAGGGGTTCTGCATCCTCCTAGAGAAACTTCCTCCTACAAGCTTTAGCCAGTGCTCTGCTCAACACTGATATAAGTCACAAGACTGCTCTAACTGCCAATTAGAAAAGGTATTTAGCAGTTTATATTTACTAAAATAATTGCATTTTCATGTTCTCTGTACTATTGGAGATATAGTGAATGCAGGGTCCTGGGGTTAGTAGACACAAGTCTACAAGTTAATGCACTCCCAGCTCATTAACAGAGGTGGTAAACGTGGGTTTTTTCATTGCAAGATGAAGAGCTTTTTCTTTGTTACAAATACACCAACTAGATTCTAGAAACTAACTTTTGCACATTAGAATGCCTACCTGTGGGCAGCAGCGCAGTGTGTATGCATCTTGGACTCTGTCACAAAACCTGTGACTCTCTGTGAGGAAAAAAAAGCAAAGATTTACAACTTAAATAATTTTAAGTCTCAGTATTGAAATTATGATCTACATTTCCAGAAAAGGTATAATTACGACATACCCAAAATTACTTCTATTCGTTTCTTACCAATTCATTCTGGTAATGAATTGTCCTGGATAATCACTATTTTATGAATAAATTAATCAGCCAGCTTCAGATGGATACAAAAAAACAAAACAAAACAAAAAAAAAAAAACTTTGAAATTATCTGATGTTTAGAATATTCATATATGGACTATTTTTCAGAAAATTCAACAAATCAACACCTGTTATCGCAATGATCAGAAGTGAAAAGAATATATAGTATAATTCACTTTAAGTTTATAGGTTGTTGCTTTTAAATATTTTTTTGTCAACTTCATCATTAGCAGTGTAATTTCTCAAAAGCAACTAGCATCTGCACAAAACGGTCTTCCAACAAATTGGAGAAAAACATTTGGAATTGTCTCAGGGGCGGACTGACCATTTGGAAACTCGGGCCCTACCCGAGGGTCCGGGGTCAGTAGGGGGCCCCATGAGATGCCCCTGGTACCTTTTTCATAGTCTTTTTGAGTTTGGGCAAGGACACAGGGGCCCCATCATCCCCTATTGCCCGGGGCCCCATGAGTTGTCAGTCCGCCTCTGAATTGTCTATACATTCCAGATCACTTTTGAATACTAGAAAACTGAATTTAACTGGTTAACACAACACAATTTCTCTTTATAAAAAGATTTATATGGCAAATATTGCATAAAGAGGAACATAGGAAATTACCTGCAATCTCTGATGGATGGTGATCAGAATCTAGGAGTGATCTAAATCGAAAGGCCACCTCCACTTGTCCAGGATGAGGTCGTAGAGCATGAATATCTGAAAGTGAAATCATAGTGTTCAAGTTGATCAAGCTTCACAATTTTCATAATTACTAAATCAGTTTAATATTTTAGATGGAAAAAAAACAAAAACAAAAAATACTTTCTTACAATGAAAAATAAACTCCCAAGTTCCAAACCACTGGGCATATGGCCTCTGGCTTTTACTACTCAGTCTATTGTTTTCAATCAGTAATGACATTACAGAAAATATTAAAGACCTAATACGATTAACATTTATATATAAAAAAAAATACAGTACTCTAAGGTTGTTTAAACTTTACTTTAGCATTTTTTCTAGTATGGATGGGTTTCCTTTATTCTAGTATTTTCACCTTTTTATACATCTATGCAATATATTGGTGTTTACTGGTGTATTTGTTTATAACCTGCCGAGTAGCTAAAAAAGGGCAATCAATACAAGGGTATCAAAAGAAGTATATTATTATCCATCACCAGATTGTTGAATTCAAACTGCATTATAGCAACTTGAGCGGAGATATAGCAGTTTAGCCCACACAAATATTTACCAGTATCAAAAGCTTTTGTAGTTCCTTTTAAGACCTCTAGTGTTAGAGCAGCAACAATGTCAGCTTGCTTGGCAATTGCACTGGCTCTCTCCACGGCCTCACAGCCCAAAGATGTGATCATCTGTGTCCCATTAATAAGAGCTAAACCCTGCAAGCATTGGGTAAAACAGCAAATAAAACTGGCCAATTAATACATTCATTGATTGGTATTGGTTATTTTACAAGAATTGTATAACAAACAGTACATCAAGAGTTTGAAATGAACTAGTCTCCTCATTAAAATCCTAAAACTATATCCAACTAGGTCATCTAAATATGGATAAACAGACAGTAATATCAAAATATAACTCAAGAACAAGCCATGACTACACTACATCTTATTGTAACAGAAATTATCAACTTCATTCGTCAACTCCCCCAAAGGATCTTTTTAAGGTTTCTCAAAGGAAACCCGACTCACAAGAGACATGTGAATGCCTGCCATTGCAGATTATTCCCTGAAAATGCTGGTTCTTATGTGTTATGCTGAAACTCTGGCTTGAGTGCCTGAGTTATTGACCCAAGAAAAATACATTTGTTCGGACTTCACTTACTTTACCAACAAGAAACTAGCACTTTTAAAAAGAGGCCAGCAATTTTAGCCTAGATCATCTTTTCATGACAAGTTTCTTTTATTCTCAGGCTCACTGGATCAGCAATTTTCAGGCTTACCTATATAGGTCAGCTATTTAGGCAGCTGAAATTCTATATTCTTAAACCAACTGCCAATCCAAACTCAAACCCTAAAGCATAAGTTCATCTTTGGTACATGTTACATGTTCCACCCGTTTTTTAGGGTAACATGTTTCCATAGCTGCAGCCCACCAGCCACTTCCCCTCCCTCTGACAGATGGTACGGGGAAACTTCTCTCCGTACTATCGGTCAGATTTGAAAACAGTGTGGCCATGTGAGGCTCCGCCCACATGGCTGCATCAATTCATTTACAGTCTTCCATGAATGAATGAACTGCAAGTCCTGGCAGTCTTAGCGGCTGTCAGCTTGTAGTTTTCAGTGAACTATAATGGTGCTGTGAAGCGCCGTGATAGTTCATTGGAGCTTCCGGTCAGAATATCTGCTTGGTCGTACATGTCGTATGGCAAGTAAATATTCTGACAGATCTGCTGGAGACCTACATGGCATCAGCAATCTACTGATGCTGTCCTGCAAAAAAAATGTACATTATTTTTGTCCAAAAGGAACGTATCCTCTAAACTTTTTTCTGCCTTTGAGTTTTTTGAGGAGGAGCAGGTGTTCAACTATATCACTCTTTGACCTCCAAGACTATTCCTGATATCTACTCCTACATAGCCCAGTGCACCTTCAGAGTCATCTACAACTCTTCTCCTATCCTCTTCTGCTTTCTATTGGGGTTCCCCAAGGCTTTGTCCTAGGATCTCTTACTTCTATTCTTTATCTTCACCTTCTCCCTGGGTCATTTAATAACCTCCCATGACTTTCTATACATCTCTACACTGGTAACATCCAAATTTTACTTTCCAAGTCTCACCCCCTTTAGTCTCCTCATGAACCACTAATTTACTATCAGTATGGATGTCACACCACTTTCGCAAACTCAGTTTTTCAAAACGGAGCTTATTCTCCCTGCCCACCAGCAGGGTCTCCTGCCCCTGACTTTTTAATCTATAAACATTAGAAAAAGATAATGAATAGCACAGCTATCAGTCCCTTCTATTTATGCCAGGGTACTAGGTGTAAACTCTGGACTCTGATCTCATCTTCAGGAACCACATCCAATGATTGTCAAAATCTTATCACAATAACCACCCTAACATTTCTGAAATTTACCCCCTATTAACATATGACACCACAGGGCTACAAATTCACCTAGTTATCTCTCACCTAAACTATTGCAACTTTTTTTTTTGTTGGACTGCCTTTATGCAAGCCCCCCTCCTCCTACAATCTATCATGAATGCTACTCTAGCCTCATCTACCTTACCAACCGGTCAGTGGCCGCTACCCCCTTCTACCAATCCCTCCACAGGCTTCTGGCTAGTCTAACATATAAAACTCAAAATTCTAACAACATACAAAGCCATATACAACATTGCCTCCAGCTATATCACCAACCCCATCTCAAAATACCACCCAAACTGACTAAGACCTCCTGCTCTCTATCTACCTTTTCACATCCTCCCATGCACACCTCTAGGACTTCTCTAGAGCCTCTACCTTCCTCTGCAACTCCCTAACCCAACCTGTCTGGCCATCTCCTACACCTTAGGTCATCCTGTATTGAGTTGTATCATAACTCTACTGCCTCTCTACTGCACACATTTTTGCACTATATAAATCCTCTATAGTAACATAACAATATATACACATTATAAGTACACACCTATACACAATGAAACCAGCTGAATGGTCTAGAGTAGTGGAGCTTGTTTTTGGTCTTTGAGACTAAAGGGCCATTTCACACTAGAATCACTTACAGTGCAAGGTAAACGCTCTTCTGCTCCTATGGTGTCAAACAAGCGAGCCAATTGCTCCTTTGCCTATAAGCCACATCCTTAAGTTTTTCAGCTGATAAGAGGGAACTGCCATAAGAGCAGGAAAATGTTACTATGGTGTGACAAGGCCAATACAAGGTGCATTTTTAGACGGACTCACAGGTAAAATAATTAACATACTCTCATAGGGGATACTATTTAATGCAGCTCTATGCATACCTGCTAGGGAAATATGCATTGTTAGGGGGTCCTTAAAAAGTCAAATGGACCATCACATACATGCAGTTCTCGTCTTCTCTCTGGGTGTAATGTTGCTTCACTGCGTGAAGCAAAACAAGATCTAGGAATCTAATAAACTAGATCACTGTAAGTGAATGTAGTAGGCTTGACAAGCTCAGCATATTATGAGCAGGGGCGAACTGACCATTTGGGAACTCGGGCGCTGCCCTAGGGCCCGGGGTCAGAAGGGGGCCCTATGAGATGCCCCTGGTACCTTTTTTATAGGCTTTTTTGGGTGTGGTTTGAGTGTGGACAAGGACACAAGGGCCCCATGGTTCCCTATTGCCCGGGGGCCCCATGAGTTGTCAGTCCGCCCCTGATTATGAGTAAATTATATTAGTCCCATGTGTCTACAATTTGCATTAAAAACATCTGGAGAAAAACTATTAAATATGAATTATACAAGTGTAAACAATTACCTCTTTAGGTTTCAGCGATACTGGTCTTAGTCCATGTGCTTCAAGAACCTGCATTTAAAGATGCATTACAACAGCATATTACAACCTATTTTGTTCATACAAAGGCTCACTAAAACAAAAAAATATATACATACACAACATGTATTATTCATACAGTATTTAAGCATGTAAACGTTCCTATATTATAATAAGATTAGAGATATTTTACAATGAGCCCCAATAAGCTGTGTGGCTAAAAGGTATTGTGTTAAAGTGAATTTAGTGCCTTTAACCCCTTCACGCCGACCATACACAAATGTGTGGCCCAACTGGACTGGATTTTTTTCCTTGGGGTCACATATTTGCGTACCTGTCTTTGTGCTGCACGGCACGCTCCCAGCACAGAGACTGGGGTCTCACTGAAAGAACTGGGTCCTGTCCTAACGATTGGGACCCAGAACTCCCGATTCTGGGTCACCAGATCGCTGCAATAGCCTCTGATTGGCAAAGCATTTACGTATATATTTTATGATTTTTAACAAAACATTTTCTTGACTCAAAAACTGAATGGTTATATCCTTTTGTACACATTGCTGCCCTTGCATCATGTGAATATTAAAGTAAAAATGCCTGCTAGAAGACACTGTGGCATCAGCATGCAGTTTGGTTTATATTCACAGCTACTTTTCAACCGAACAGTAGATAAGACTAAACAAGAGATAAGAGGTCAGGGAGATTGTTTAATTTCTACAGCTATAAAGATTATTCTAACAAAAACAAAAAAGAGGCTGTGTTGATAGGCTTTGGGTTGGTGGATGGCATTAGTTCGATACCATTTTGAGGTGCTATTGAGATCATTCAGAATTCAATGACAGGTTCTCCTTCTGACCTAAATTTGACCTGCTCCAAACAGGTTATGAATTCCCATTCATTAGTATGGGAATGCAAACTTTATTTGTGTGATAAAGTCCTAAGAATAAAGCGTTTCAGAGTTTATATATTTTGAGGCTCGGGGCTGCTGCTTCTTACTCGATTAAAAAGGGATTTTTTTAAAGTATTTTAAAATAGTCAAATATCTCTAACCAGAACCTAACACTAACTCAAAGCTAAAGATAACCCTAACTTTTTCCTAACTGTAACCCCGACTCAAGGTCAGTCCTAGAACTAGCACACCTAAAAATTAATCATGCAAGACAGTGAACAAAATTACTTTCACTGCATGAAGACTCAGCTAATTAGCTCCTACATGTCCTCTGGTAACCAGAAATGACAAGTGGCAGCCTGGCCACTGGAACATTTTAAGCCCCCAAAGTGTGATGATGAACAGTATTTGGGGAGAAAGGTATGGTTTTAAAAATAGACTTTGGGTAGTAAACAGATTTTCATGGTTTCTGAAATTTAAAAACAGTTCATTTTCTATACTATAATAGTAAAATACAATAATATCCAGAAGCCTCATGGAATTGATAACGGAAGAATCAAGATGCAAATATATCAGGAGGAGTTGAGAAGTCTTACATATTTAGCATCAGCCCAGCCACTCTTTGGTGACCACATCTTGCCTTCTCCTATTAAGCCCAAAGCAAGATGTGAAAGGGGGGCAAGGTCTCCACTAGCTCCAACGGTTCCCTTCTCTGGAATGTAGGGCAAGCAACAAGCTGAAAAACAACAAATGGAAGCATTTAGCCAACAATGCATCTACTGAAATTTGTTAACTTATGGATCATGGCTAAAATATTTAATTACATATCTTGAAGGGGACAGGTACCACACCATACACATTACCACCAAAATTCTCAATTGCTTTTACCTTGATGTGCATTTTAGCATAAACCTTTAAACCTACAGTCATATACTCAAAGCTCCATCATTTATACCAATGTCAAATCTTGCTTTCTTCCTTAGACTATTTCAGTGATATGAATGACTACCTGTAAACTAGATTGTAGAATTACAGACACTATGAATTTGAATATATATGATCAGGGGCAGACAGAATCTGGAGCCATCTGGAGGAATGTAGGTCTTGAGACCCACTGACAACTTTTTCAACATGACACAACTACAGTGTTCATCCAACAACAGTCTTTGATTCTGATGCCACAAGAAAAAAGAAATTATACTTTGCACAGTTTGACATAAACGTGCAAATATATAGTGTAATTATCTATTGATTTTTACATTATTGTGCTCAGTGAATAAAATCTCTGATCTACTGGGGATAGACAAAAAAAATGGAAACACTATATGATTTGCAGGTGTGAAAATTGACAACATGTTTCGTGTTGAAAGCAGAAGTGATGTAACATTCATTTGCTTCCGCTGTGTGATCAGACACCTAGCTAACAGGTGGAAAGCCTCACTTTCATCATTTACTGCATGCACTGCTAGTAATACGGAGTCATGTCAGAGCTTACTGAGCTTCAAAGAGGGCAAATTGTTGGTGCCGCTTAGCTGGTGCCTCTGTAACTGAAGTTGCCAATTTATTTGCAGAGTCGCAAGGTACATTATCAAAAGGTTATGCGGGCATATACAGTTTCTGGAAAATCATCATATGATAAGCATAAGCGCAGTCAACTGACCGAAAGACAAAGAAGGACATTGCGCAGGATTGTGACCAGGAATAAGAAAACAAATGCTGCAAAAGTGACTGCTGAACTCAATCTCAGTCCCATCAGTCTCATCACACAGCGGAAGCAAAAGAATGTTACATCACTTCCGCTTTCAGTGCAAAACATGTCGTCACTTTTACTAGTAAAGGTGGTGATCAGCAACTTATAGCAGGACTGCGATGGGCATTCTGACACTGGGGGGGTAACTGACTTGGTGTCACTGACATCCCCAGTGACACCAATACAGTAATCAGTGCTAAAAAAGAAAAAACCTAATGGCACTGGTCAGGAAGGGGTTAACATGTGGGGTGATCAAAGGGTTAACTGTGTGCAGTTTTGCATACTCGGCTGTGTTTGTGCTTCACTGTAAGCACACTGCTTTGTATGGCTGACTCATTTTTAGGATACATGACCAGGGCTCTCATGGTCATCCTTATTTCACCACTTAGTGAATCACTTTCCTCTATTAAATATATTAATGTCTGGTGTTCCAATAATTTAGATGAATGCACTTGTGCAGTGAGTTGCCAGGTTGTATAGTGTAAGAATGGCAGTCCTGGAACCTGCACCTTGAAATCAAGTCAGCAACGGTAGCTCTCATATTTCTTTCCAGACAGGGACCTCTAAATCTGAACCCAAGAACATCATCTACCTGTTCATTCCATACACTTTGTGTCCTTTACCTTATTTAAAATTAGTGAGATGTTGTGTTTTAAAAATAAAATACAGTTAAGGATATTCCAGAGGTTTCAGACTTACCATTAAAAGCTTCTATAACTTGCTGTAGTGTTTCAAGTGAAATGCCACTATACCCTTTGGCCAAGACATTGATCCTTAAAGCCAAAAGCATGCGGGTACGATCTGGACTTAGAGGCTTGCCGACACCTGTCATAAGCAAAACAATTTCCCTTTCAAGTATGGAAAAACAAACACACACACACACACACACACACACATCATTTTAATAGACAGAAGAATCATTACCTGCAGAATGGGATCGCACAAGATTGACTTGGAGATCCCTAAGCCAAAGAAAAAAAGAAAAAATGCATGTATACCATGGTCTGCAGTTGTTGAAACTGTTCTGGCTGTTACAGAAAACATTTAGGATATATATACAAAACACACTGATCTAAAGAGAGGACAATTAAAAGAACACCAATACATGAATAGTTTATTTTAGTCACTCATTAAATATTTTTAAAATGTCTTTTAGTCAGATAAATATTGAAAAAATGTTTTTTTCACTAATAATGTCAGCGATTAGCGACTTATTGCGGGACTGCAGGGGCATTCTGACACTGGGGGGAATTGACTTGGTGTCACTGAAATCCCCAGTGACACTAATACAGTGATCAGTGCTAACAAAAAGCACTGACACTGTGCTAATGGCACTGGGCAGGAAGGGGTTAACATGTGGAGATCAAAGGGTTAACTGTGTGCTGTTTCACAGTGTGCTATAAGTGCTTTCCACTGTATTTCCAATGTGAGTACTATGCAGAGTCATACAAAGAAGTGTGCAGGAGCTGACAGGGGAGAGATCTTTGTTGTTTATACATAGGTCTCTCCCCCATCGGAGATACACGGCAATCACTGGGTGATGGTGAGAAAACACCGGCCAGGACTCGGCGATTGACAGCTGAGGCTGCGAATAACGGCGCAGGTAGGGTGCATGCGTGCCCCCCCTACACGGAACTGCAAAATCACATTTATACACATACGTGATTTTGCGCATCCATGCCGCCCTGTGGCAGTATTTCTGCTATAGGGCAGCACGGAGGCGGTTAAAGTAAAACTACAATGCTTTTGGCCAATTTTGTTTTTTATTTTATTTTCACGTTTATAAACCAATCTGGCGGATAGTTTTTCATTTGCATTATATAAGTAAAAATCTTAAATTCTGAGTATCCCCAAACTTTCACTATGCATCCCACCACCTTCCCATACTGCAAGGATTAGATGTTTGTTTAGTCTAGAGAGATAGGTATAAAGTTGAAATACTTGTTCCCACAGGTTGTGTGATCAGTCCCCCTGAAGCCTCTACTCTTCCTTGTCCAACCGGTCACAGGTCTCCAACATCATCCTGTACAATACAGGATCAGCGATCCTGTAGTGTATGCAAGGTCACCAAGGGACTGCTTACATTCTGGGAGCAACTGAGAGTGGAGAAGCCTGAGTGAGAAATACTGTAAGTAGTTGTTTTATTCCTATCCTCCTGACTAAATGAGTATTTAAACTTTGCAGTGTTGGGGTCAGGCACCAGAAGTTGAAATTTTAGAGATACCTGCAGCTTAAATGTTCTCCTATAAAAAACATAGAAAAAGTGACAGCAGAACAAAAAAAAAAGGAAGAAGATCAAGTGGTACATCAAGTCTGCCCCTTTTTATTATGAAAATGCTTTGCTGAAATTGAGATAGACTTTGTCCACAGCATCACCCTGGTCCAAAACATTGGTGATATAGTCAAAGGATTCAAGCAGATTAGCCTGACATGGTCTGTCTTCAGTAAAGGCCTGCTGCTTTGGGTCCAGCAAATTTTGGGTTTTTAAAGACTATTTAAACCCAACATTTCATATTCCCGATATGTGCCTGTTGTACCGTGTGCTTGTATGGATAAGTTTCCTGTTCTCTTTGCATTGCTTCATATGTGTGAAATCCCTGTTCCTATCAAACCCTCTGTTTTCCTATTAAAAACTGACCACACTTGGCATGAGTTTACAGTGTGGTCAGTTCTCTGGCTGTACTGGGAATCCAGCCTGCTTTTTTCCAATGATTAGACTTGCCCTGACATGCCTGCACAGCTTTTTACTGGGAAGATAAGTGTACTGCTGTTTCTCCTCCCCTAGCTCTTATGCAACTGAGAACAGAGGGAAGGATGAAAAAGGCAGTTTATTTATTTTTATATTTCTATACACAAATGTTTTGCCTTTCATTTCAGTTTTAAACTGAATGGGTTGTTTTGCAAGCAGAGGGTTTACATATACTTTAAGTGATTAATGATCCTTCTTTTTATGAGGGATTCCATTAAAGTGATACAAAACCTAAAAACGTTTTATTTAACTTGATGCAATCAATGTGGTGAAGAGGAAGTGAGGGGCGGGGCTAAGTCTGGCTGTGTGCGTCTATGAAGCATGGCTCCGTAGACACACAGGTCGGGAGAGAGCACGCACCATGTCTCCCCTAGCAAATGGCTTGCTATGGGGACACACAAAGAACAGAGAGCCAGGATCGCTGGCAGGGGACCCGCGAAGAGGATAATTGAGGCTGCTCTGTGCAAAACCACTGCACTGAGCAGGTAAGTAGAACATGTTTGTTATAATATATATTAGAGATCCTCCTGCGCTTGTATGGACCACCCTCCCTTTTCCCTAGTTAGCAGCCGCTGACACTCCAACTGATAACCAAATACAGTGCTCAAAGTGAATAAATATTGTAATAGTGTAGCGCTAAATAACTAAATCAAACTAACTTAATTATACACGTGATAGATAAATATCATAAATCTAGTGACACAATACTTAGTGTCTAAAATGATCTAAGTGCTCATACCATAAATAAATTTGACTCATAAGTAATAAAAAACTTCATAAGACATGGTAATAATAAAAAATATTCAAAAAATAGTGTTAGTGCCACTCAAAAATAAATAAATGGTGGGTGATCGTGCCAAATCACTTATATTAAATAAATTGTCCAATATCCAAAAAAAACATAAAAAAATTTTTAAAAAAATAAAAAACATAGAAAAATATTTTCCAAGTGATGCTTAGATGCACATGCAGTGTGTTGATAAAGTGTCACTCGTGCACAAATCCACTCTGCTACTTTGGCTGCAATGCCTCCTCACCTCCTTTCAACGACCCCTAGGGGCCAACAAGCCTCTAGGATCACCCTGGATCCTCAACACTCCCGGATGATGTCTCTCGGGATATCCTCCTATATGTCTCCTCCACTCCTCCACGCCTTATGGAGTCCTCTACCACGACTCACTGTGGACACTCACTCTCACAATAGTGAGTTCAAAGAAAGAGAGAATCCTCCATAGTGTAGTATTTTAGCAAATTCAGCATTTATTTATGTGAGAAGAATAAGAGATAACTCACATTTCCCGTACAGCATATCCTTCTCCCCTGCATGGGTAAACTGCACTCATGTGGTCTCTTAGAAAATGGCGTCCGTACCGGAAGTGCGTCACTCCGGACTCCGGAAACAGCGTCTCTGCGTGCCTACGCGTTACGTCACGTACCTCGTGACCCAGATGAAGTCACGAGGTACGTGACGTAACGCGTAGGCACGCAGAGACGCTGTTTCCGGAGTCCGGAGTGACGCACTTCCGGTACGGACGCCATTTTCTAAGAGACCACATGAGTGCAGTTTACCCATGCAGGGGAGAAGGATATGCTGTACGGGAAATGTGAGTTATCTCTTATTCTTCTCACATAAATAAATGCTGAATTTGCTAAAATACTACACTATGGAGGATTCTCTCTTTCTTTGAACTCACTATTGTGAGAGTGAGTGTCCACAGTGAGTCGTGGTAGAGGACTCCATAAGGCGTGGAGGAGTGGAGGAGACATATAGGAGGATATCCCGAGAGACATCATCCGGGAGTGTTGAGGATCCAGGGTGATCCTAGAGGCTTGTTGGCCCCTAGGGGTCGTTGAAAGGAGGTGAGGAGGCATTGCAGCCAAAGTAGCAGAGTGGATTTGTGCACGAGTGACACTTTATCAACACACTGCATGTGCATCTAAGCATCACTTGGAAAATATTTTTCTATGTTTTTTTATTTTTTAAAAATATTTTTATGTTTTTTTGGATATTGGACAATTTATTTAATATAAGTGATTTGGCACGATCACCCACCATTTATTTATTTTTGAGTGGCACTAACACTATTTTTTGAATATTTTTTATTATTACCATGTCTTATGAAGTTTTTTATTACTTATGAGTCAAATTATTTATGGTATGAGCACTTAGATCATTTTAGACACTAAGTATTGTGTCACTAGATTTATGATATTTATCTATCACGTGTATAATTAAGTTAGTTTGATTTAGTTATTTAGCGCTACACTATTAGAACATGTTTGTTATTTTAATAAAAAAAATAAAAATCTGCCTTTAGTAACACTAACATGGCTACAACAGATGTTAAACTCACTGGCCTGTAATTGCCAGATCCTACCATGCCACACTTCCTGTGGGTAGGTACAATATTAGTTGTCCGCCAGTCATGGGGAACTTCTCATAAAATGCAGATTTTATATAACAAATGCCAAAAATTATTTATACACTTGAAAGCAAAAAAAAATAAATTCTAGTTTCTAGAAGCCAATAGGTTATGTTCCCAGTGCCTTTTATCACAGTTGCTTTCATACAGCTGATACTATATGGTGCCAGAATTATCAACATGGTTATTTTTTAGGGTTTTAGAATGAAAAATGCTTCCTAGTACATATTCTTTGGTTCATATATTCAGTAGTGCAACCAGTTATAATACTACTAGCGCTGTGATATAACCTTGTTAAAGTGGTGTTTGCTTATAATATTGGACTCCCTAAATCACAGTGGTGTTTTAAGAAAACCTATTCTTTATGTGTATTTTTTGTATTATTTTAAAGTCCAACATAAGCATCTCCTTCCACCACACCAGTTAAGACACTTATGGAAGAAGACACTTATTTTGGACTTTTCAAGTGGTGTTAGCTTATAACATTGGACTCCCGAACAAGATTTAATTTACAGCGGTAATTTAAGACTATTTTTTGTTTATTATTTTTTGTATTATTTTATGGTTATATCACAGCACTACTAGTGACTATTATAAATGGTTGCATGACTGAATATATGTATGGGTTAAATAGTAGTGGCAGCAGTGAAGTAGTACACATTCTGATGTTATACTTATTTTACAACACTTTTTGGTCCAGTAGCGCACAGTAGGGGTTTTTAGAAATTCTTTGCTGGAGGAAGTCCTCATTTCCAAATCCATTGCTTTCTACAGGAATTTATTACAGTGCAGCATTTTGGCAAAAATCATGCATAGTATTGGAGCATTACAATGTGTGGTCCCTTTCAAGCCACTGTTATCCATTTGCTATACAGTGTGAATGAGCCCCATAATCTATATATATAAAAAAAAAAAAGGGAACCACAAAAGGACACTTTTTTTGCTTGATCACTGAATAGTAACAGGACAAACCGATTATAAAAGCATGTACACATAGAAAGACTGTGCATGTTTGGTACTTACTTGAGCTGACTTACAGGGATTACTGTGCGAGCAAACTTTCCAAATCCAGTAGTGATTCCATATACAACTACAATAAATTGAACACAGATTAGGTAAGCAGGGATACATTCCAATATACACATCAACTGCCCCCATTCATCCTTTGTAATAATGGTTTACCTTTCTGCTCTTGCACAATGCTTTCTATGAGAAGCCTTGACTGTTTCACCCTTTGCTCAGCCTCAGGGGTAAGCTTGTAAAGAACACAAACATGTTTAATCAGAACATAGGATAACATAGGATATATGGAAGGAAGAACTCATCTTTGTGCTTTTTTTTTTTACAGTGATTTACATGTGAGACAGTTTTCCTGTAAACCATAACAGTGAACTTCTATTTTTTTTTACACCCTTTTGATCTACTAAATATACCACTCAAAAGAGTTTGAGGCTCTGTGTATATCAGGGCGTTTTGTATCAGAATAATCATGACTCTGCCCACGTTTCAAAAATGCTGTGCAAAAATAAATTGCGCAAGGCATGTTCAGGTACCATGTGTTTTCAATGGCAAATAAAACATGCTGCAGTTCTGTCTTTATAAATCACACTGCAATGACAGCAAAGCTTGTTGACCAAAAAGAATCTCCTGCTCCTTTTTGGGCGAGAAGCTTTGCATAATGTTGTTTGTTGCAATTTATCGCACGGCAGAACCACACCTTGTTTTAGGTGCCATTAAATATACAAAATGGTACCTGATCACCTGTGGTGTGATTGGTCATTTTTGCACAGCATTTTGGGATCATGGGTGATTCTGCCTGTGATACAAAATGCCCAGATGTTAATGGGGCCCTAGAGATGAATAGTTCAGCAAAAAACAGCTGGGAAGGACCAACACCACTCATTTCACAAAAAAATCTGACTGTTGTCAGGCTTAGGAGTGCCAAGTTCATTTTCTGGCAGCTCAGAAAAATATTTTTCTGTACTTGCAGGGTCTTTAAATAAATATAGAATGTGAAAGTCCGCATCTAATCCAGATATGCACTGCTTTTTCTTTCCTTTGCCATGACATACATTGTAGGGTACATGTGTACTCCTCCTGCACTATGGCCACATAGTTCTGCTTGCAGTCATCAGTAGCCCTGTGCAGTACAACATTGTTAATTTGGGGCAGCACAGTGGCTTAATAGCTAGCACTTCTGCCTAGCAGTCCCAGGGTCACTGGTTTGAATCCCAACCATGGCACCACCTGCTAGAGCCTGCATGTTCTCCCTGTGCTTGCATGGGTTTCCTCCGGGAATTTTGGTTTCCTCCCACACTCCAAAGACATGCTGGTAGGTTAATTGGCTGCTGTCTAAATTAGCCCTAGTATGTATATGTATGAATGTGAGTTAGGGACCTTAGCTTGTACATTGTGATGTGAACGTAAAATATATGTATGTAAAGCGCTGCGTATTTGACAGTGCTATACAAGTACCTATAATAAATAAAATTTACAAAAATAAAAATGTATTCCTAAAAAATGCTAGCTGCCTGGCTGTGGGTAACCTGAAAGGGCTTTGAAAACGTGCACAAGCACGAAATGCGTCAGAGAGGAGCCAACCCAGTGACGTCGCGCCGCACAGGCCACGAGGAAGGCCGGCAGCCATCTTTATTATTGTTTCCATTGCCAGATGTGAGTGCATTACTTTTTGTATATGAAATTTACCTATTTAAATAAAAAATACTGCACTATTAGGCACTTTCTCTCTGGCTTGTTCATTTTGGAGCCATTCAAGGTGGATTCCCGGTTACTCCTTTTGCCCAATATTGGTCCATTTACACTGGATGGGATATATCCTAGAACCTGGAGATTAGCAGTCGGATGATCACCTGATGTGCTGACAGTACCAGATGATCCCCTCAGTTGCTTTCAGGATACAGATGACCAGGAGTGGTATAATTTACTCAAATGTGCATATTATTGCGTTTCTGGTTAGTGCAATATATACTTGTTTTTTTCCATCCACCGGAGTCACCGAATTCACCCATATTTGTTTTATTGGACGTTTTTTATATATTTATGTCACTATTGCACCTTATGCGTCATATTAAGACACTACTTACACGAATATCCCTAGTGCTCCACAGAGCATGTTTTTTAATGTCTATGAATTATTATCAGTTTACTTATTAAGTTTATTAGCGCTGCATTTTACTATTGTTGATGTGTATAAGGATTTGAGGTTTGACTGTCGTGCTAGCAGCTTACCTATCTACCTAGCGCTCATTTAACTCACTACTACTTTTTATTGGATTCAGAATATATAGAAGATTTTAGAAACAGCATTTTCAAAATGAGATTTTGGCAAAGATAGCCACGTGTGTATGATAAACTGTAATAAACACTTTACCGAAAATATCTTCTGAGTGTGTGATTTTATATATTCATATTTTATTGCATAAAAAGGAATCAAACTTAGATACTGCATAACAGGTGAAATTTCAGCAAATATTGATATTTACATGCTGATGTAAAAATGTAGTCAACAACTCTAAATGGGGGATATAATAGAGAAGGGTAAGGAGATATTAAACAGGACTCCAGCTAACACAAGTATATTTGTAAACCGAGTTTGGTTACAGCATTTACAACGAATTGTATAAAAAATTGTAAAGTAAATGTTTTTCCAAGATAGTTATGATGAATTATCAGTTTTAAACATATACTTTTGTATATGTATTAGTTGTTTTCAAATCATGGTAAGATTAGGTTTCTTTATAGTGAAGTCTTTTTCAAAATGGTTTGTTTCCAGTTACAAACGGAATGGATGGAGCAGATATTGTTTTCCCGTATTTTGGTATTACTAGATTTGGGTATTCGTAGTTTCTGTTGCTTAGGCTACAATTTTTTTCAACATTTTAAAAAATGTAGCTTTGATAGTATGAAGATTCAGCAGGGCTACCTCTGGAGTAATACATCTATATATATTTGTTATGAGAAAGGAAAAAAAAAAAGGGGGGGCTTACTTTGCACCATTAGGAATACATTTTAGAACATAAAACACATGTGTAAGTATGTTCCAGAATTATGTTTTTATTTCCAACATAATGGGTTAGATGTAGGAAACCTCTTTTGTAGTGTTACAGGTGTTCTGTAACATCTTGATATTCTATTGCATGTTACTTCTTGGATGTTTTTTTTCTAAACCGGTTAGTTCTCGGTTTCTTTTATAAACATTTTACAATTTTACCCGCCACCTAACTGCCATATAACAAATACTGCTATAGGGTGGCATGGGTGTGCAAAATCATGTATATATACGCGATTTTGAATTTCCGGGTAGAGGGCGCGCGTGTGCCCTACCCACGCCGCCATTCGGCTGTCAATTACTGGGTCCCAGCCGGTGATTACCGAGGATCTCCTCTGGGGAGGAAACCTGTTTTGTTTACTAACAGTTCTTCTCCCTGTCAACTCGGGCACACTGCTTTGGATGGCTGTGCACAGACAGCACCCTATAGTAAAACACACCCAGCACATAATTAACTCTCTGATCGCCCCCTGAACACATGTTAACCCCTTCCTGCCCAGTGCCATTAGTACAGTGTCAGTGTTTTTTTTTTTTTTTTAGTCCTGATCACTGTATTGGTGTCTCTGGGGATGTCAGTGACACCAAGTCAGTTCCCCCCCCATTGTCAGAATGTCCGCCGCAGTCCCGCTATAAGTCGCTGCTATTACTAGTAAAAATAAAAGTTAAAAAATCCCAGTATATATACACCGCCATTTGTAAAACACTATAACTTTCACGTAAACCAATTTATAAGTATTGGAAATTTTTTTTAGCAAAGACATACATTTTGACCTAAATTTATGACGAAAGTTGATTTTTAAAATTTTTTTATTGTACATGTTTAATAGCAAAAAGTCAAAAATATGTTTTTTTTTCTCAAAAATTGTCAGGTTTTTTTTTTATAGCACAAAAAATAAGAATACCACCAAAAGAAAGCTCTATTCGTGGGAAAAAAAGTACGTAAATTTCAGTTGGGTGCAGCGTTGCATGAACGCACAATTGTCAGTTAAAGTAAAGCAGCGCCGTAACGCACAAAATGGCCTGGTCAGGAAGGGGGGTAAACCCTTAGGAGGGCAGATTTGGTTGATTATACATTGTGTAAAGGTGGGTATACACTAGTAAACTTTTGAAAGAAAATTCATTCAAAAATTCTCAGTACCTTTGATGACCTAATAAATGGGGTATGACAGCATTTCGAAATTTTGTTTGCTTTTACCATTTGACTTTGGAACAAATAGATTTTCCTGAATGAAAACTGCATACACTGTACATCTAAAAGCAGACACAATTTTGAAGTAAAGTCATTTTTTTTTACTTTTTGTGCACATTTTCTTTTGAAATTCTACTAGTGTATACCCAGATTTAGAAAAACATCCATTTGAAAAAGATTTTCCATCTTGCTCCTTGGAGTTTTCTCTTCACTGCAGTTGAAAACAAAATGTCAATTTGACCCCACTAACAATTAGAAAATCAAATGAAAGTTCTTAAAATAAACATTTCAAATGAAATTCTACAAGTGTATACCCTGCTTTAGACTGCACATAGTTATTAGAATTTCTCTGGGTAAGAATAGTTTCATATTGTACAGTGTAAATTATCTAGTTTTGGAGTGTCTCAATTATCAATAGTATTATCAGTTCTATTATTGTCTTCGATTGTAAGCTCCAAGGATCAGGGCCCTCCTATCCCTCTTGTATTGAACTGTATTGTTGCTGTGCTGTCTCCCCTTTATATTGCAAAGTACTAAGCAAACTGTTGGCGCTATATAAATCCTATATTATAATAATAATGCACACTGGTAATTTTAATAACGCTGGTAATGTTAGCTGTGTAAAGTCACGTTAAAAACATGAGTTTTTCAGCATTTTTGCATTAGCGTTTATCTGTGTTTTTTACATTTGCGTTTTTTTATTACCCCCCCAAAAAAATTATTTTTGCTAAAAAAAAGTCAAAAAACGCCGCTTTGCTGAGTTTTTACAGCTAAAAAACTCCTCTAGAAATCCACTCGTTCTGGGTTTTTTCCAGCCAAAAAACTCTGATTACAGTCTATGTGTGCATGGACACATAGGATAAACAATGCTGGGGAGTTTACTGGCT